AGGTGATGGTCTCTGGGCACCTCACTTCGCCACTCCCTGCTCAGCACTCTCAAGGCTGTGGGCGCAGACCGCTACCTCGGACCGCGCACCCTGCTCCAGGTTGGAGTTGTGGAGACCCAAAGCAGCACGGGCTCCTTTAGGAGCGGAGGAAAGCGTTAACATCCTATGCCAAGCCTTTGTAGCGTGCTCCTCACACCATCCTCCAGGAGGTGAGTGCTGTTGTCACTGGACGACCTGGAAACTGCAGCTGATGGGAACTTGCCCAACACGCTCCAACTTTAAAGCTGGCAGAGGCTGACTTGGAAATCGGGGCACAGGTGTGACCTTTCCTCACCTGTAGAAGAGAGCTTGTCCTTTGTCAAGGAAGCCGGTAGCGCCCAGGGGCCCGAGGGCGGGGAGGGGTTGTCGGAACCTCGGAGACCCGGCGGCCACGAGCCCGCCTCAAAGGGGGAGGGGGCGCTTTAAGGGCGGGGAACTTTTTCCTCCCCCGACAAAAAGTAACTCCCGAAGCGGGAGGGGTTCTCTCCGAGGGGCACTCGCGGTGAGCTGGAGCCTAGCGATGGGTAAGGACCCAGCCAGCCGGGTTTCTGAGGAGGAGGAAGAGGAGGGTTCAGAGGGTAGGGGGGCGGAAGCCCCAGTGAGCACCGAGTCCTGGCCCAGGGTCGACCTGGAGGAATGGGAGTGGCGGAGCCTGTTGAGAACTGAGGTGGCCGGTCAGGGGAGCCGGAGGCGGCGGGTCCCGCGGGGCCGCCCCGGAGGAGCGACGGGAGGCGGGCCTCGGGGTGGCTCCGGAGGCGGCGGACCGGAGTCGGCGAGCTCCGACGGCCCCAGCGGAGAGGAGGCGGCGGGCGTAGAGCCCGGGTCGCCGAGGGGCGGGGGGGCGGCGGGCCGCGGGGGGGGCGCCGGCGGCCCAGGAGGACTGGAGGCGGGCAGAGGGGCGGAGAGAGAGGGAAGGAGCGCTCGGGAAAGGCCCGCAACGGGAGGTCAGTAGTGGAAAGAGCCCGGGCCGGCGCAGCCAGGGGGAGAAGCAGGGCAAGCTCCGGGACGGGTACTGGGAGGCCTACTGGGAAAGGGGCAGGGAGCGCTACCGGCAGAAGAAATCGAAGCGCAGGCCCAAGGGCGCGGGGCAGGTGCAGGTGCAGGGGGGCAAGGTCGAGTGGAAGTACCAGCTGGAGAGGAAGTCCAACTGGCTGCAGAGCACGGGATTCGTGGAGTCTGTGGAGGAGGACAAGTCCTCGCCCTGCAGGGAGAGTCCCGACATCTTCAAGGTCCGGGTGGGACGCGCAGTTCCGGCAGCCGGCAATCAGATTCAGTATCTGCCCCACGCCTTCTCGTCGCCTGTCGCAGCGGCCGGTTGGGAGCTGCCTCTCCGGCCTCAGCGTCATGAAGGAGCTAGCGAAGATGGGTGACCCGAACCTCCTGGGGATGGTGCAGGAGGAAGGTAAGGAGCCCGCCGGCGGGAGGGCGGGGCTGCGCGCGTGGACTCCGCCGTCCCCAGCGCTGAGCCCCGGGGGACGTTGGTGGACCTGCGGCCAGCGCCGGGGACGTTCGCGGCGTGGCGTCCCCGCGCGAGACGGGGAACCGCAGCGTAGACCGCCTCTGACTTGAATGTGCCTGGGATGGGTTTAGCTCCCACGATTTGCTTTGCCGCTCCCACGCGCCTAGTACCTGCGTTCTGTGACTCCCTCGAGTCGGGGACATCCTTGCTCCCTTGTGTGCTGCAGGACAGCTGAGTACTTAGGAGAGGCCAGGCTAGCGCGCTGGGCACGTGTGCTGTGGTGCTCGGCCCCTGAACACCACCCCAAAGCAGAAAGGGTCTCCCAAAGGGAGCCGCGCGGTAAAGATCAGGACCGCGATCCCACGTGCCACGGAACTGGCCCTCACTCCTTTAGCCTCTCTGCGGATTACTGATAGTGCTTTCAGATGCTTGTTAATCATGCGAGGGCTGACTTTAAGATCTATCAGTTTAAGATGCTCATGCACTTGGAAACGGTGCTGCTTTTACAGGTCAGCTTTAACTGGACCTGTAGTGGCCTTGAAAGACATTTGTCTGTTGCTTGCTGAAGACTTTGCTCAGATCTGTGTTCTGTGGTATCTCTTTCGTAGACACATTTTCCTAAAAATGCACGTTTTTCAGTGGCCTTCTGTTGGAACTCGGTTGTTTCAATGACTATTTTCATGTCTTTAGTTTTAGTTTGAAGTCCAGAAACGATTTGTTAAAGGGATAAACAGTCTGAGCATGCTCTTACTATTCAGTCTTCAGTGGCACCAAGAAATAGTTGTGTTATTGCATACTTTTCCTCTTTTTAAGCAGCTTCACTGAGACAAAATCTTCACATCATAAAATCCACCTTTAAATTGTAGCTTCCTGTTTCAGTATATTTGCAGTTTTGCAACCATCACCATAAAGTAATTTTAGAAAATTTTGTCACCCCAAATAGAAGACTCTTAAGGCAGCCACTCCCCATCCTTCCCACCCTTAGCTCCAGGCACTCCCTAATCTATTACTGTTTCTGTAGATTTGCCTATTCTAGACACTTCAAGTAAATTGAATCATGCAACATGTGGTTTGTAGTAACTGCTTTTTTCTCTTAGCCTGTAGATTTTTGAAGTTCATTCATTGGAGTTTGTAATAGTGTCTTTCAATTGCCAAGTAACTTTCCCACTGTAGAGATATACCACAGCTTATCCATTCATCAGTTGCTGGACATTTAGGTTATTTCCACATTTTAGATAACTATGAGTAATGCTGCTGTGAACATTCATATCAAATTCTTGTGTCAACATATGTTTTCTTTCTTAAGATCGATTTATTTATTTGAAAGTCAGAGTTACATACATAGAGAGAGACAGAGAGGCAGAGAGAGGGAGGCCTTCCATCTGCTGGTTAGTTGACCTCAATGTCCAGAGCTGCACTGATCCAAAGTCAGGAGCCAGGAGTTTCCTCCAGGTCTCCCACGTGGGTGCAGGGGCCCAAGGACTTGGACCATCTGCTTTCCCAGGCCAAAGCAGAGAGCTGGATCAGAAATGGAGCAGGCAGGACCTAGAACCAGTGCCCATATGGGATGCTGGCACTGCAGGCTGTGGCTTTATCTGCTGCACCACAGCGCCATCCCCATCAACATATGTTTTCTTTTTCTTAGGTTATACTTAAGAACGAAATTGGTAGATTGTGTGGTAGCCCTGTATTGCACATTTTGTGAAAGTGCCAACCTACTTTCCAACTGTCGGTATTTACATTTCCACCAATAATGGAAAAGAGTTCCCATCTCTCTACATCCTCACTAACAGTTGTTTTGTCTGCCTTTTTTTTTAGTATAGCCATCCTAGTAGTTGTGAAAGCGTGTCTCTAAGTGACTTTGGTTTGCATTTCCTTGGTGACTAATATGTCAAGTATTTTCGTGTATTATTGGGTGTTTATTTATCCACTTTGGAGAAATGTCTATTCAAGTGCTCTGTTTTAATTTTTCTACAATTGATTTATAATAACTCTCTCTGTTCCATATTCTGATCCACTATAGACATATAGTTTGCAGATATTTTCACCTTTTCTGTGGGTTTTCTTCCCTTGTTCTTCATGGCATGACTCTATGCACATTCCCCCTTTTGAAATAAAAAAAAAATTTGAAGAGAGAAGGAAATAACTTTGACTAATGCCTGCTGAATGATGTAGTAAATGTGCATTAATGCCTTTGTATTCACCAGATATGCATTCCAAGCTGTCTAGTGGATTCCTGAAGCCACGGATAATACCGAACCTCATATACACTATGTTTTTTCCTATACATTCATACCCATGCTACAGATTAATTTATAAATTAGACAATCAGGGGACAGCATTGTGGCATAGCAGCTAAGCTGCCACCTGCAATGTTGGCATCTCAAATTGGAGTGCTCCTCCTTCTCCTTCTCCTCTCCTCTCCTCCCTCCTCCTCCCCCTCCTCCTTCCCCTCCTCCTCCTCCCTTTCTTCTTTTCCTGATGACTTTTTTTTGTAATTTCAATAACCTGAAAATCTAAATTTGTATATTTAAAGCACTCAGTAATTCCTTATAATCACTTCTGAGGTAAAACTATGAAAGATAGAGATACATATTTTCATTGAAGGAAGAGTAGAAATGAAGATGTATACTAAATAATGTTCTCTGCATGGATTTCAAGTGTTTTTCTGCACCAAAATAAACATATTTTAATTCATGCTTTCATGAACTTTGGAGTACCCTCTTGTGTTACCAAAGTCACATTTGAAGATTAAATGACAGAGTTAAACAGTTGATTCACTTGTAATAAGATTTCTTTTCATAGATATCTTAACTTGTAGACAAATTAATGAACGGTTTCTAGGTTTTATTACATTGTTTTTAAGTCTGTTTTCTTCACAATGGAACACATAAGCAATACATGACCTCAATTGTTTATTTTCTTTCTTTTTTTTTTTTTGACAGGCAGAGTGGACAGTGAGAGAGACAATTGTTTATTATTCTCTACTAATTTTAAAATTGAAATTTTAAGGGTTAAATGTAATAGAACACTTAAAAGGCTACAAAAACAAACATTACTAGTAAAATAGTTTTGCTGAAATTGAACTATTGACTGGTTAACATTTAAGGAAATTCATATTTGAAATATTCATTCTTTAGCTGATTTATGATACAGTCACCATTGGAAAAGAAAGTCTAGGAGTTTAGCTTTGGAAAAGGCAGTTTAAATATTGAATGTTTAAGTTGCCTACATCTTAACAATTACATTAAGCACTGTGTTTGACGAAAAATCACCTGCTTTTTAGAAATGTGGATCTTTATTTTCATATAAAATCACAGGCCATGTAATGACAGAGACCTGAGAAACACATTGCTAGGTGTTTTTGTCGTGCTAACATAAGAGTGTCCTTAAAAAAACAAGTGGTATAGCCTTCTACACACCTAGACTACATTATGATCTTAGGGGACCACAATTATATATGTGGTCTCTCATCGACTGAAATATCAATATATGTCATGTGACTGTACTTAAATTTAATTTTATGCTGCTGGTAGAAGTTGTAAGCTGAGAAGACCATCTGGTAAATACAAGGGCTATTTTTGGGTTCTGGGTTTGCTTGAGTGTGTATTCTTAGTAATGTGCTCTCTGAGTTGTTCGGTTGGCTTTTGTTTTAGCAAATATTTGATGATTCTCACAGTGGATTGGTATGAAACCCTTCATATCTCTGGTTTCCAGCTTACAGGAAGAATGTAGTTATTTCCATTCATGTTAAAGGAAGCTGGAGGAATCATAAGACGTTGATTTAGAGTTGTTGGCTTCAAATCCTGCCTCTTCAGAGGTTTTGACAGAGGTTTGGTAATTATATACAATTATTGCATTTTATACTCTGAATGAGTGTGAAAGTGTACCTCAGTCTATGGAATGTGACACCAATTGCTTACGTGTGTGGCTGTGTCTGTAAGAGTGAGCTAATGAACCATATGCATGTGTGAGAGTGAGCGTAGTGTGTAAGGAAATAAATCTGTTCTCCTGAATCTTTCTGCTTTTCAGAAAAGGATACAATTTACAAAGTTTGCTATTGGGGCTCTCCAGGTTTGTGGTAGACAGAGGTGTAACTGGGCCAGGTGCCCAGAGAGGGCTATAGTCAAAGTGGTTTGGGAGCTGGTACCAGGGTAAACCAGAAGGATGAGGTTTCAGGCAAGGTCTGAAAGGAGGATATCTAAACTGATATATAAAAAATAAGCAAGGGTTAGTATGGGAAGAAAGCACTTGTTCGTGGTAGGGAAAGGATTCAGTAAAGTTAAAGTGTAAGAGGAGAAACAGTGATGAAAATAATTGGAAGGATATATGTTGTCTGCTTTCCACATTCTTTTATTTATTTATTTATTTGACAGGTAGAGTTATAGACAGTGAGAGAGAGAAACAGAGAGAAAGGCCTTCCTTCCATTGGTTCACTCCCCAATGGCTGCTACGGCCAGTGCTGCGCCAGTCCGAAGCCAGGAGCCAGGTGCTTCTTCCTGGTCTCCCATGTGGGTGCAGGAGCCCAAGCACTTGGGCCATCCTACACTGCCCTCCCGGACCACAGCAGAGAGCTGGACTGGAAGAGGAGCAGCTGGGACTAGAACCCAGTGCTCATATGGGATGCCAGCACCACAGGCAGAGGATTAACCAAGTGAGCCATAGTGCTGGCCCCTCCACATTTTTAAGTAATCACATTGCATCAGATTCTGATAGCAATTTGAAAATATTTTTTCACTTAGTTTTATGTTAAGTGGAGCAAAGTTAGAGTCAATGCTTGCATTTTTTCTTCTTTCTCTTTGCAAAAATAAAATTGTAAAACACTCTATTGACCTAGTAGTAGTTGTTTGATGGTTGTGTGCTTGAACTCTATTTTGTTTAGTGTATTGTTCTTCCACATAAGAGTGATCTTTTTTGTCCTCAAAACAATAAAAGATCCATAA